TTTTTTCTCTCCAAATTCTAGTTGATGCAAAAACCATTGTAACAAGAAATTTTAAGTAGAGTTGAAAATAGTTTTTTGTGCTACGTCTGTCGCTATATTAGTAGAGCTGATTATTGTTAAGACAAGTTCTTGTTTTAGCGGAAGTTTACACAGTAAGCAGTCTGCGCTCTGTACACCAAAGGGAATCGAATCCAGGATTTTGGCGTTGTAAGTCCGTAAATTAGCGCTGACCCACTGGTGAAATAAAACTAGTAGAAATAATAATGAAAAAGAAAAACAAGGTTAAACACTAGCTAAACTGAAATAAATTTATTTATGGATTTGAGAACAACTTTTTTGCCTTCTTTTATATTTGTATTTTCCTCGCCTACCCAATTCTTTTACTTAGTTAAAAATGATAGTCATACTTAGAATAAAAAGATAACAAAAGTAGTTTATGCACATGCGTGATTTCAAACATAACATTATTAAAGAAGACAATTAACGTTCTTTATAAGATTTTATTCAAGTTATTCATCCACTGAAGAGAAAAATTCGTTTATAGGAAATTTTATTTTTGGTTTTCAAAGGTTCATCTAATTATCAGAAAAAACAGGATCATCATTTTTCATGCATAAACAAATATATTTTTTCAAATCCTGCATTATCTCCCTTGAATTTAATATTTAGTATATTGCAAGTTTGTGATACAGTTTAAAAAATTAATCTCTTTATACAGATAAAAGGTCACTCCGTTGTTATTCATTCATCTTCCGTTATCAGCGGTGGTTCTGCTCATCTAGGAGATTTATGTGGTGATTTTGAGAAACCCCAGCACGTCTGGTGGCGAACGATCGAAAAGCTTTGTGGTCTGCATTATGTCTAGCTTTATAAACCGTGAGATGAACTGTCACATTTTAACAAATTCATACCCGACTGACTTCCAACTAAGTATTGTAATGTTCTATAATAAGAAAATTATACCTACATTATAATAATTGACCATAAGAAAAAAATTATGTGCAATGTTATGGCTGTAAGCGTCTAAAAAAAGATGTTATCAAGCGCTCGTTAAAAACAGCATATTTTAGACATAAACATTACCAAAGGAATCACAAAACTGCCGAATAAGTTTTTATACAACAGCGTATGGAATTCGTATCTGTATCAAATGTCAGTTTGTTGCTTGTTTTTTAACATGATAATCGTTGAAAATGTTTCGTTGTTTTCTCTGTTGAACATTCCGGTACTGTTGACAATGTCCAGACAACTTCCTGCATACTTTTGGTACTTTTCTTCTACCTCCTGCATTATTCGGAACCTTGAACGATCTTTAGCAGGAAAAGCGGTATCATTGGCATAAGATGGGTTGGAAATAGGATGTTTCACGCCATCTGTAGTTACCCTTCTACTCATCCTTTCTAGTTGTCTGATTTGATATTGAAAAGGATAACGGAAATATATTGCCTTGTTTAACTTTATGCATAATGTTGGTTCTACAGGCTGCTAAATCTCTATCCACAAAGATGTGTTGGCATCTCTATACATCTGATCCACAACAGTCATAAAACGCGGGTGAATTCGAAAGTGTTTAAGGCTATCTATGAGATTTGAAATGGCCAACCGAGTCAAAAGGTTCTTTGAGATCTAGGAGTGAGATAGCAAGTGTTCTCCGCCTCTTGTCCTGTTTCATCCAAGTTTAATGCAAACTGCACAAAGCCACATTGATAAAAACAAATTTGAACCGCCCTTAACATACATTTAGCCAAAATCTTGGGCTGAAGTAAAACACCATCAAATAAATGTAATCGTCAAGGTTACATTAATAATTATTGTTACCTTACACCATGCTATAGTGGTACTTTACACCACTCCTTTTGAGTTCGCATTTTCTAGCGAAAATAACCGTTTAGCTGTTGAAATCATTCTTATCTCTGCCAAATCACCTTTTATACCGTTTATGTTTTTGTGTCCAATACATCTTCGTACGCCATATGACGCGCGAATTGAAACCGATTTACTTTTGGGACTTCCGGCAGCTAAACCTCTTTCATGATCTTCTTTCTGTGGATCCGTAATTTGAGGTAGAAATAAAAGTGTACTGTTATACTGTAGCCACTTAATTAGGGTTAGTTTTGTGTACTGCGCTTTTTAAGATTTTTTTTGGGTTGATACATATATCTTGCACACTTGACAAAAAGTAACATGTTGTTGATTTGTTGGAATTATAGAATATTAAATTTTAACGACTAACTTGCCGTAAACTATCCAATGAACAGAACAGCTTAAGTTTGACTTTCTCTAGGTGTCATAACACAATTCCTTTTTTACCCACTTTCATTTTCACTTTCCTATGTAACTTCAAAATCTTAAAATTGATTTAAACATTGAGGTTGGAAATATATATAAATACGTAAACTCATTTATTGCAATCAAACTCTTTCTTTTGTATTCCTTTAGTAAGACACTAACCACTGTAAGTCTTTCCTGACTTCTGAAATGAACAAAATAATCATAATAACACTATAACAAACACACCTGTACATTCAAACAACTATCTAACCATAGTTTAACAAACACACCTGAACATTCAAACAATTATCTAACCATAGTTTTAACAAACACACCTGTACATTCAAACAATTATCTAACCATAGTTTAACAAACACACCTGTACATTCAAACAATTATCTAACCATAGTTTAACAAACACACCTGTACATTCAAACAATTATCTAACCATAGTTTAACAAACACACCTGTACATTCAAACAATTATCTAACCATAGTTTAACAAACACACCTGTACATTCAAACAATCATCTAACCATAGTTTTCTTTACAGTATATTCTAGGTCTGAGCGCTGACCTTGCATTCAGTGAAATAATACAACAATTTCGCCTGTGAACCAGCATTATAAAACATAATTGTAAATAACAACCAAGAAATCTTTATTTTATACAAAAGCGTATTGGTTTTCACAAGAAACTCCTTATAAAATTCTAATTACCTAATATTGTATTACAATATTCAAACGATTTCTTTGTGATAATGATACAAGAAGGTGAGTTGTTTTTTAATCAAAGCATCTATTTAATTTTCAATTATTTTCAAATTTAATCAATATGAACGATAAAGTGGTTCATATTGGTTATGCCCATGTAATATCACGCGATTTATGCTATAGAGTATTTCCTGATTGCCAGTCAAAAGCCCTTAAAATTTCTCAAGTAAGAATATTCTAGAAAGTGTTAATTGTAATACTCTAAAATTAATTAGAATTCATAATACGTGGATGTTAGTGGATAATTCGGAAAGAAATTAGTTAATAATAGAAACTTCAAGAGTTGGTGAACGAGTTTAGTGATTTAAACTTAAACGAAATAAGGTTAGCTTCATGTGTAAACATTCAGATATTTGGATAGAAACACTTTATAATTTTACTTTGATACATGAAGGAAAGGGAATTTCAGACCTTTGCTATACTGGATTTCTACAGTTAGTTTCATTGAGTTAAAACGACGTACAACATTTGATCTTTTTATTTCTGCAATGAACAGTCAACTATTCTACTTTTTTAAAACATGTGTCCACTGAAATTTAACCTGCTAAACAGCGTGCGTTCATTCTGGTACAATTATTTCAACTGCAATAAGAGATATGGGTTTCTATGAGTTTTAATTTCAATTCGGGTAAGATGATTAAAACCTTCGTCTATTATTCATGCATAAAATTAAGTTCTCTTTTATTTCTTGGAATTCTTTTAAACGGCAGTTACAATTTGTGATGGAATATCCTAGAATTATTTTTGTTAGTATTCTAAAACGCCAAATATAACGAAATCATGTACCAATTGATGAGCGTTTTTTTGTTTGTTTGTTTGTTTATGAAGTAAACATAATAAGCAGAAAATCGGGCGAGTAGACGAATTACGTTACTTTAGAAAATTTTATAAACTTGGGACAGAAAATCCGAAAAGTACACGAGTTATATCGCCGCGAAACTTGATAAACTTTATACGTTTAGGCAGTATACGGATTCCTGTTGCTAAAAATTAATAAACATAGGTCAGAAAATCCTACGAGTAAATGAGTAATGTTGCAATAAAAGGTCAGGGAAAAAAAGATCTACCAACTAGATGTGTTAACATTGCCTGAGTTTATGAAGTTTAGTCAATGTTAACCAGTCTACTTGCCGGTTATTCTGTCCCTACTAAACTTCATAAACTCAGGACAGAATAACCGGCAAGTAGACTGGTTAACATTGCCACTAAACTTCAAACCGGCAAGTAGACTGGTTAATGTTGCTACTAAACTTCATAAACTCAGGACAGAATAACCGGCAAGTAGACTGGTTAATGTTGCTACAAAAGTTTATAACTTCATGACAGAATAACCGGCAAGTAGACTGGTTAATGTTGCTACAAAAGTTTATAACCTCATGACAGAATAACCGATAAGTAGACTACTTAATACTGCTACAAAAGTTTATAAACTCAGGACAGAATAACCGCAGAGTAGACTGGTTAATCTTGCTAAAAAGTTTATAACCTCAGAACAGAATAACCGGCAAGTAGACTGGTTACTGCTGCAACAAAAGTTTATAAATTCAGAACTTCTAAAAATCCGACAGGTGAATATTTTTATAAAATTTTGAAAAAGTCAGTTGAATGCAGATCAGAATTCTGCCGATTCCTTCTAGTGAGTAAATGTGCACAGTCAGCACTTTTGTCCATTTGTTAAAGCTATTTAAATTCAAAAGCTCGAGAATAAGCTTGCATAATACTAGAGTCAATTAAGAAAGAAGAACGCAATGACGTATCGCTGGCGACTTTCCTATTAAAACCAAATTTGTTGAGCTTAACACTTTGAATCTAAGCTGACAAACTTTTATTATTTTTCTTTAGGTTGGGATAACGTTTATGATCATTTGATCTCCAAAATATTTGAGAACTTTAGAAAAACTCTCCGTGAATTGTCATCGTTCACAAAATGATATAGATATACATAGCTGTACCTACCTAGCCATCCTTTCTGTGAAGCTTCCATGCAGAGCTCTCTTTCAGCACTGGGAAGGATATAAGCTATCACCAAGACTTCAATGGAATCAGCAGCTAATCCTAACCCAAGGATCATAAACACAATCCACTGAAATCTTCCAAACCCTGCCTACACATTGAATATAAGAAAATGCTATTACCCTTGAAATAAAATCAGTATTACATTATTTTAAAAGCGATGAAACTAGACATTTAGACGTTACTACCCTGAACACTAATTTAAGTGAAAACGCTGTACATGTTGAAGTAAGAAAATATTATGTATACATAGATACATACACACATAAATATATATATATACAAGGAATCAAATCTATTTTGCTCAGGGAGCTTGTTAATATACATATATATACCAGAAACAAAGACCAAAAATAAAATGTGTTGACAAGGAAACACACGCACAAAACAGTTAAAGAATAATGAAAATCAATAATATTTAAACTTCGACAAAGAAAAAAATCACTATTTTAAAATAATGTCTTCCCTTAGATCATTTTCATGCAAACAAGGTATCTGATGTGATCTGAAGAGCAAATGATTAATCATTCAGTTTAGGCTTAGTAGAGATGGCTTCAAGTCTTTACACTTCATGGCATCTCGCTTCAACACCGAGTACCGATGTTTAAAATCAGTGTGTTAATAAAATTCTGAGTTATCCTCAATCGCTCCTCTGAGAAAGCTACTTATAGGACATATTTCTCTTCTTTTTTTTACATTGAATAAAATAGGAATAAAATAAATTACAAATAATATTGGATTGCAACAAAATTCTATGTTGATAGTGTACACCCTAACTGGCTGTCATTACATAATATCTGTAAGAGTACAGGTAATTACATTATTCTCAGTAGTATTGTGATTTATGCACTCATAGCTCCCTGGTCAGAAATACAACATGCGAGAGCTGAGACTAAATTTTATGTTTCAATAGGAGCTGTATGGAAACTCTGAAGAAAGTAGTCTTCATGAAACTAGTACCGTTGATAAAAAAAAGCACAATCTCGTTAAAAGTGATATTAATTAGTTAACTCACGGTATGCTCTTTATGTAATACACAACAATTTGTTGAGTTCTTGTCAATTATCTAGGTGTACACGTGTTAAAGTTAACTCCAGAGCAATGTGAAAAAAGTTAGCACAAAATGACCTAAATGGATTTGAAGGTGCTCAAAAACCATTGCTTAGTTGAGATAACCAATCAAAAAGGTGAAATGGACATCAGTCTTAAAAAATGGGATGAATAATGCTGGAGAAGAGTGCGTTGTCCAGAGGAATCCGTATTCAAATTGTTTGACAACATTTAATGATAATTTGTTGGATGAGAAGAACGGTATCCTAGTCAACATACAACATCTATAGTGAAGCATAAGAGGGATCAATACAAGTGTGGACTACATCTCAGTTCAAGGTATTGGAGATATATACAAAGTTGATGACACCCTGACTTCTGACAGGTACAATCAAAATCTTAAATTTCGTGCCATTCCCTCAAGAACAAGACCTATTGGCCAGGAATTCATCTTCCAGCAATACAATGATCCCAAGTATGCATCAAATATAATGAAATAATCCCTATAAGAAACGAAGCTCATGGAACACTAGTGACCACGGCTTGACCTGAACACAATTCCGATATAAATATTTAATAAGGCTATATGGCTTATACTAAAGATGAAGGTCAAATGGCAACCAGACAAACTTATGGTAGTATAAAAACAATGTGTACTGCTTTGCTTGAAACAGATACAAAATACTAGTGTGTAGTACAAATTATACGCTTTTTTCTTTTGGGTTTTCTTTAAACAATGCATTTTACTAATTATAAATTTACTATTTAGTTTGTTTGATTTTGAATTTCGCGCAAAGCTACACGAGGGCTATCTGCGCTAGCCGTCCCTAATTTAGCAGTGTAAGACTAAAGGGAAGGCAACTAGTCATCATCACCCACCGCCAACTCTTGGGCTACTCTTTTACCAACGAATAGTGGGATTGACCGTCACATTATAACGCCCCCACGGCTGAATAGGCGAGCATGTTTGGTGGGATGGGGATTCGAACCCACGACCCGCAAATTGCGAATCGAGCGCCCTAACCACCTGGCCATTGCCGGGCTACTATTAAGTTTGCAATTACTTATTGTTAGTGACTCCTTTATGAGTACAATCTGCATGTTTCCACAATTATTTCCAATACTATATATATAAGCTATCACAAAATAATAATGGCAAAATATAAGATACTTAAAATCAATTTTTACTTTTGAGCCCAACAGTGAAAACATACACATTTCTTTTGTCATAACCGAACTGAAATGCTATATGTGATCTTAATAGAAGGTAAAATGTATATCTTGGAGGGAAGTGCTATTTTATATGATCGTTAACTTGGCATTGAATGATCGAAAATCAATAGTAGATTACGCTCTGTTTTATGGCTAAGTACATGCATCTCCCATTCTATGCAATAAGAATTCTATAATGAACCGTTCTAGGAAAGCCTTGGGTGTATGAACACGAGTGAAAAAAAACTGTAAAACATTTCAAATTTCTCAGACGTAGGTTTGGGAAATTCCTTTTGGTGTGGAAAAACATCAGTTTTATTGTTTTCTTCGGTTAATATATTTCGAGAGAAACTTTCTGCTTATTTTACACTGATTAAGCATAAAAGAAACAGTATTTAATAGTTCTGTGATGTGTCTTAATTGTTACTAAAAATAAAGACTAAATAAAACGGACAGTTTTGTCTGTTTGTCTCTTATCGAACACTGAGAATTGGGAAATTAATAAGCAACCGTATAGAAATATAACTCATATTTCTTAGTTCTAAAAAGGTAAGAGCTGTTACTAGCTTCCTTCACTCTAGTCTATCATTTCAAAAATTAGCTCCAGCTACATATGTGCAGATTATAAAAGATCAGGAAAGTTGGTGAAATAGGAAATAAGGACATCAAAAAGGATGTACGAGAAATGTTTGTCTGAAAATGTTAAAAATAACAGTAAGGAATACTTTAAATACATTAAGGGTAAACAAAATGTTAGGATGGGGGTAGGACCCTTGCGGGATAATAAGGGAAGGCTCGTATCTGATGATTATAAGATGGCTGGGTTATTAAATTCTGCTTTTTCTTCACTGTTTACTAATGAAGATTTATGCAGTATTCCTCATCTTAAATAGTTGATTGATGGAAACAAGGTTGAACAAGATGATTGCATTAATTCTGAGCTTGTTAAGAAAACACTGGGAAGTTTAAAGAAGAAAAGGCTCCTGGGTCAGATAATATTTCCCCAAGGGTTTTGAAAGGGGTTAAGGATTAAATAGATAAGCCACTTGCTACTATTTTTTGTAAGTCCATGAATAGTGAGCAGGTACCAGAGGAATGTCGATCCTCTTTTTAAGAGATAAGATAAAAATTGTCCCAGTAATTATAGGCCCATTTGTCTTACATCACTTGTGGGAAAAGTTTTAGAAAGTCTGATTAAAGATGCTTTGCAAAGTGATTTAACAAAATTTAAAATTTTATTGGATAGTCAACATGATTTCACTAAGGGAAAATCTTGCCTTACAAATCTTTTGACATTCTTTGAAAAGGTTAATGCTTATGTAGATGAGGGTAAAGGTGTAGATTTGGAGTATCTGGATTTTCAGAAAGTATTTGATAAGGTGCCTTATAAAAAGGCTTGTTAAAAAAAAATATCTCTATAGGTGTGGGGGGATAAGTTAGCAATTTGGGTAGAAGAGTGGCTGGATGGAAGAAA